ACTATGAAGGATAAGCACAAAAATTATTGACTAGGTGTTAGTTATAGTACAAAAAAAAAAACTTGTTTTACTGTTAATATGTCACTAATGTTTTTACTGATTTTGGAATGTAAAATCTCCCTACTGTTCAGGTAAATTAAACAATCTGGTTATTAGTTAATTTGCTCCATTATTAAGGACATATATGAAGATCAAGTATCCAAATCCCCCTCACCAAACATGCTCATCCTACATGGTTTCTGATTGGGCAAGTCACCTGGATGTAAAAATTCGTGGCTTAGAAATATACTGGCCCATTCGTAATTCAGTGAGACTAAGATCGAAATGGGAAAAATTAAATAAAGTAAAAAAGGGTTGCATTTAAACAGGAATTTTTTGTGCAGTATACTATATTTATCTATTATCTCTATGTATATAATTTTTTTCTATAAATAATAATAACAGTAGTTAATGAGAAGGACAAATGTTCTGTTACGTATTGAGAATTTGAAATAATCCAAGGCCGCATTAAACAATATAACTTGCTAGTTGAGATGTACGTTGGATTTAGGTTTAGAAATATGTTGGTATTTAATTTATGCTATTTGCCAACAAGATTGATTCACACCGTTTTTGTTTTGTAACAAATACGTTTTAATCGCCAAAAACAACAGACAACAGAGAAGAGACAGATCTACTATGAAACTGTTATAACAGTGTAAGCTATAAACTGTGATTCTGCTAACCCTTATCAACCGGAAAATATACGACATTTGACCAGGAATAGTTATAAATTTCGAACATCAGTGAATTCTCATCAAATGTTAATATCTCTCCAAGAATATTACTAATTTTTTATCGGACATTAGTGATTTTGTGAAAATATTATCTTACTTCAACGGTCCAGCAATTCAGTGCCTAACAAAGCTAGCTAGCTTCGTGTCAAATTATATATACGTACAACTCGCTGGATATCAAGGAGACTCTGAACTAGGAAGATGGTTTTAGGCTATTTGTAAGTTAGTGAAATTTCTGTTTATGAAACTTGGTTTGTAATAATTAATCATAATAGTTGCTATTGTAAATTATAGTTGTTGTATATATATATCGATGCCCTGCTATTTTATAGGCTAGACACATCTTCTAGAACCTTCTAATAATACTGGATATGGAAATGAATAATACTGTTGATTCTTGTTCACGAATGTTCTACAATCTTGGACAATTGGTGAAACTTTTGCCATACATAACTAACAAGGTAAGCTATACATGCCCCCAAACAAAAACTTATTCGATACAAACGTTGACATTGAATATATCACAAATTCGTTATACGCAACACATATTTGATAATACAAGTCACACAAATCTCTAAATATAAATTCAATCCAAACAACGTTCATATTAAAAATAAATTCTTTACAGTTCCCATGTTAATTTTTTTTTCTTTTGCAGAGATTCATAATGATACTAACTGAACACATAGCCCAATGTGAAGCTGAAGGTAAGAACTTCAAAAATTTTTGGTTCAAGTGGACTACAGGAAGACTTCTTTCAGTCTTTTTTCAGGTTAGTTAAATTTTTTTTTCTATGAGTATAAGAGCTTATACAGGTCAAAATACCTTGTTGCTTTTTTGTCTTAGACTAATTTATTGATGTTAAAATAGATATTTTGGTTTTTCTTATTACTTTTTAGTTATCTTGTTTTAGAGCTTTTTGAAGTACACACAATTTTAACATAAAACTACTCAAACCTATGCTAAAATAAAATGTTTTTCTTCATCTTTTTAAATGAATTCAGATGTCAGTGTACCAGTTAGCTAGTTTATTTGTGAATGTTTTAATTTATTAATAACAAATATGAACAACAAAGTTTTTGTTTTTTCTGTTTAAAATACTTTTACTATTGAAACTCAATATTGAAGATACTATTCATAATTCCAAAAATTTTTTAATTCAACCTCCTTTTAAGCCTAAAATATTAACCCATAAACACAAAGAAAAAAACGTTTAGGTAATTAATCATAAATTTAATGAATTCTTATCATGGACAAATGTAATAAAGGTATCTCGTATCATTCTCTAAATTTCCATAAGAAACTAAGTAAAAGGTTACCATTTATGTTTCTGTTGTAAGAAAGTGTTCCATATGATGTGACTTATGTTTTACTTTGTTTTTTGTAGCATCATGAACAAGTCTTCAAGTACATAGGGACTCTAGAATCCCTTCTCTTTACAAGTGATATTGACCAAAACATCTTGAGTATTTTTCAACAGTTTTGTGCTCTGAAGTCCTAAACCCATCGAGGGACTGTTGATTTGTTTTTGTTATTCAGAACTCTTTCTTTATTCTTTAATTAGATTGAAAGTCAGTAGTATTTTGAACTACATTTATTGGTATATCACTATTATTTTCAAGAAATATGATATGGATGCTTATCCTTAAAATCACATTCTGGCAGGTACAATCTTTTTTTCTTTCTTTTCTTTTTTCCCTGCAATTTATTGTTTTCTCTATTTTGTCCAAAAAAGAAATTTGTTTCCAACTACTTTATCTTTGAGAGTAAATAAAATGTTTTTTATTCATTTACTGTTATTTTATTCTCAACAAACAAGATAAAATACTGTATTAAATTAAAACTGTAAAAATACATTTAGTTGGTTAATTGCTAAAGTGATTGGATTCCTAACATGACTTTTTTGCTTAAGGACATTACTCTCTTGTATTTCCTGCAGTAAAATAAAAAAAATAGTATTAATATTGTAATGCTGACCATTGATATTCAAGCTGTTTAATAAAAAAGTGTACAAAAATACAAAATACATCTGTTGTAAATTCAAAAGCCTTTATTGTGTACAAGCTAAGGTAACTGAAGGGAAGGAGGATTAAAATTATATAGAGATGAATTTTTGTTGCTGTTGTTTGGACAACATAAAGTATAATATGGCTGATTAATAGACTTGCATAGTTACTAGGTGGTGTATGAAGGAACTGATGTGTGCTAGTATAATGTTTTGTAATTTAAATTTAAAAACACAGTTCCAAAAACATAGAAAATATATCAATATTCTTAACCATGCGTTAGTCTTTTGGAGTATTCATGGACCCCAAATAATTTGTAAACATTGGTGCCGACAGATTGAAGCACATACGTGTTTGTTGTTCTTAGTAGCTTCAGTATTTGGTTAGTTTGTGTTAAATTGTTACACTTATTTTAGGTGGTAAAAAAGAGATAAGTTGTGATATTCAGTGCTCATTTATTTATTAATAAAAGAAAAGATATTGAGTATTAGTGTTTTTCATTTCCAAAATAATATTTTATTATTATTTAAATATTTGTAAAGAGTGGAAGAGTGACTATGGAAAAATTTTACAGAAAGACTAAAACAAGGTTAAAAATGTTAGGATTTTCATGTCTATATTTCAGTTATTGACTTAAGTACCTAGTGGTGTGGTCATAGTGTTGAGTTTAGTGTGTACTAAGATACAAAGATGCCTGTTATCTCATATCACTGCTTTTGAAGCACAGCTAACTTTAAGATAGTTAACTAAGTAAACATCTCTTTTTCTCCTCAGAGTTGGGAAGGATACTTCTCTTTGACTTAATAAAATGTAATTCCATTTTTGTTTGGTTGCTGAGAAGAATGTTAATGAAAATTGCACTGAAAAAATTATGAAGCTGAAGGGCAAGCAGTTTTAATACAGTAAAAACCCTTTAACCCCTATTGCACATTGTAACATACAGGTAACGAATCTATCTTTGTTGCTTAATGCACAAACAAATACTTCAGTTCTGTAGTTGAATGCATATAATTCCAGGTAACAGTCGAAATAAATCAAGGAATTATTTTTGTTGGTTCATTAATTGAACAATGTTACTTCTATTTAAAATACCCATTTATAACTTCCCAAAATATATTTCACAAAAACATTTTTTGTGCAATATTGACCTAATTAAGTAAGAAATTTCCACCTCATTTTGATAACGCATACAACAGAGAATTAATTACCATATTTTGCCCAAATATAATGTGTGTATTTTCTCCTTCAAATACCTCCTAAAAAATTGACTTCACATTATATTTGTGTACACTCATTTTTGTCAGATATTTTACTGGAAGCTACCAGCGAAAATCATTGAAGGTTTCAAAAAATGGGACAGATGATGACATGCTGAGGGAGTCAAAAGATGATGAAGCAAAGGTTCAAGAAACCAAATCCAATGAATCTGATGGTAGCGAGAGTTATAACAATGATGAAGATGAATGATTAGCTGAGTGTATTACCACACACAAATTTTTCAATAAATTGTGTTAAATTGATACATTAAAAAATTTCAGTAAAAAATTTCCAAAGATGTTTAATATATTGATAGTTGTTTACTGTATTTAGAAACTATTCAATACATTTTGTACAACTGATGTGTAAAAAACAAATTTTCTTCAGTTTTACCTTTCTAAATTGGGGGTGCATTATGTTAGGGCAAATGCGGTAAGTAAAGAATAGACACTTGTATGTCACAAACAGTTTATTCTTGATGTACTGTTCTGGAATTTTAATAAAAACCAGCCCACCATGGTAAAATAAAACATGTTTAATCATCAGAATTTACACATTTTATCATCAGATCTAAAAATGTTTTCTTACAACATTCATATGTAGTATATACATATATGTATAAAGCTTAAGGTTTGGGAAATAGTGTTGACATTATTTCCTCAAGCCACAAATCCTTATTTTACTTCATTATCTAAAATCTGTAATATTTAGGAGAGTCAGAAATAGGGATTTGTGGCTTGAGGAAATAATGTCAACACTATGTCCCAAACCTTAAGCTTGTTTGTTTACTTGTTTGGCGATTGCATTTTCACTTTAAGCTACTTATCTTGTTTCTGTATGTTTTTTTGGTTGTTGTTGTTTTTTTGACGATCCCTATTCCCACTTTTTTAAATCGAAAATTTTTAATATTAAAATAATTAAATAATGTTCATCATGGACATAAAACTGTATAATAGCAATACTGTTCCATTTGAAACAGTTTAGTTTAATGAAATACGTAGTTGGTGTATGATGTTCTCTCGAGAAACAATGACAACCTTCGGATTGGCTTCATGCAGATTGGTCCTGATATCATTGCTACAATGTTATCATTAATAATGGTATTGCATGAATGATCACTATGGTGTATGGTAATCAACATATCACGTATTATGTATATGCTTGTAAAATATATGTACAGCTACTATATTTATACCCTGTAGCTGTATGGGGAGTATGTAAACACTGAATTGTAGGGACTACTGAACTATACAGGAATGGTGCATGGACAGGATTTTGTAACCGCATGAGTTCAATACATGCAATGCATGTTCGCTATATGTATAACCATACTAGCGTATAGCTCATTGAAGACGACGGGGTAAG